AAGATAACGATCAATTTCTTGGTGTCTAGTCAAAGGTATCTCGACGTGCCGTATAGATTGCAGTAAGAGAAAGACGCATGCAGGAAGAAAGTAAGAATGAGAGAGAGTAAGAAAATGAGAGACAAAGTACTAGGTACAAGGCTGATGCTAATGCCTCGTGTCACAGAGTGCTAGTCCCGACTTGAGTTCCCTCGTAACGAGCAAGGGCCTATTAATATCGGTCGACGAAAAATCGTGGGGGGGCTTTTATCGTAAAGCAGCCGGCCGACTTAACGGTAATGCAAGTGGAATAGTGGCTTTAAATAAGCAGGGTGTTTGCACTCGTAGATAGCGGCTGCCGGCGCGATGTCAGAGACACGAGACTCTTTTGAGGTCGTAGATGCATAAGGTAGGACACGGCCTCGGGGTTTTGCTAGGGGTTTGCTGCCCTTATTCCCTCTACTCCTTTTCCGCTAGAATCCCAATAATGCACCAGCAAATATTCTTATCTGGCAAGAGATGCGCCATCATCCCCTATCTGTCCTACGGGCGTTTCTCCAGCTGCAAGGATCTTCCGATCTATCTATTTTTATTTATTTCATCTCTGGATATCGTATCGTCCCAATCTTAAAGGAGACTCCGATCCGGAGTAAGTTCTATACAAGGTTCATTATTTTCATGTAATTTTCACCAAGTTTCTCGCGGGATGCACTGACGTGTTTTTTATCGATTTTAAGAACCCCTTTCCAAACAAGATCTTCATTCTCTATGTTTTTCCAGGCTTCTCCACTAAAGCCAAATTGCTCGATCGATTAGCACTTGCTTCCTCGTCATTGGCAGACTCGCAGGTCCCCGACGGCTAGAGAGCAGAAATTACTTAATTTTTCCAGCCTCGGCATCGTGATTTATCACCTTTCGCGCGCACGCATACCCGTGGCCGTGGGCTTACGTATATATTTAGCGCATCAAGCGCCGCCATCGGGCAAAGGACTAGGGAAATATATTTCATTGTGTAATCCCTCGAAGAAGAATTCCGCCTTGGCTCGGCCGCACACCGAGCTTCGCACGTCATTATTGCGAATCCCCGTACTCGACGAGCCTGCGACTCCTTCGGGCACTGCAATTTCGTCCACGTGTACCTATAAACCAGCACGTCACGTCACTTTTACGAATCCTTCCCTCTATGCACTCGCTATTCTCGTGAGGCTTCTCGTAACTCTTGCTGATCTTGCGAATCTTCCGAAACTTGCAAATCCTTAGACTCAAACGGCTACCGCGACACTTGCGAATCCTCGTGTCGTCTCTTACTCGCGCTACTATACGGCCGTGACTATTTGCTCCGCTAAAGTTCAAAGGGACTTCCCCTTTGCCGCTTGACACAAATTAACCAAGTGTAAAATCAGCTTAATATATTCTCCTCCGAATTGAGAGATTAGAGGCTATCGTTATTTTTCGAATGCCACGCTGTCTTCGGATAAGCTCGTCGGATGCATTATCGGTACACTGTAGTCACTGTAACGTACGCATTCCACTTTCGATTCAAGTGCATGTGCATACTGCAGCTGCAATTTTGAGTATCCGAAAGGCCCTGTAGCATTGCTCTTGGCGTTCCGGTATAAGGGACAGAGTGCCCGGCGGTACCTATAGTCGAATTATCGGACTGTGTCATTGTACTGACATACGTGCCATTCGCTCTTGCAATTCTAGTGGTATCATGCTGATGTTCGGGTTACTCATGCGCCAATGATGATCCTGAACTATCTGTCTGTTACTCGACAATCGTACTGATCATTTATCTCACGAACAGGCGAATTACAAAGTAACCGTAATTCGAGTTAGTAGCACTGCCAGGCATACGAGGGATCTCCCGAACTTTTCAATTGTATTCCGGCTTATTCGATTGGAGAAGTTTATTCGAAAAGGGAGGAAAATACATCAGACTCTGAAAGTGCGAAACTTTGAAAACTTTCAAAAGACTAAAGTTTTCATTATATAATTATAATCATTGCTCCAATAGCAATTGATTGTAATCAACATCTTTTTTATCGGTTACATGGCCGTTGTATGACTGATAACTAAAATAATATTAATAATTAATAAAGGATTTATTATTTTTCAATTATCGTTATCTTCATTTACTTTTCTTATCCGAACTTGCAAGTTCATTCCGGAAGCTGTGTGTTTTGTAAAATCACTAATATCTTTAAATTTCGAAACTAATTTGTATTTTTACATATATACAATATACATGTATACATATATGTGGAGGGCATATATGCACTCTGTGCAGGGGTCCATTTACGTGGCAATTCTCATAAGAAACGTAACCCTTCGTGCAACTGGCCTAAAAAGTGGTAATATATACTTAATGCTGTCAGAGGACAAAAACCATCGGAGTCCGTCGGTCGAGTGTGGTCCACGTGTCGAACACGTGTGCGTTTCATCGAAAAAAATGGAGAAGCGCCTCGGGAAAAAATGGAAAGAAATTAAAACCTGCCTTAGCAAGGGATTGCTCGTTACGTAAATGCATCAGATAAGACTGGAATGACATCTGCTATCGTATGCACTTCGTATGCATCCGTTAATTACACGAAAAAGAGAATTTCACAAGAAATTATAAAATCCAAGTAAATCTACCCTTTCAATTCCAATCTGCATCCCTTCTCTTTATTTTTACACAGTTTACGCTATTAATTGCTATACTATTATTTTAAAAAATTAAATTTTTAATCCAACAAACTTTCGAAAATCCCATATCAGACGCGAAGTGTCGCACCTGAGAGAATTGTTACTTTACGTAACAATTGAGTGAATCCTGGTGAAATATGAAAAAACAATAATTTTAATTCAAAAACTTTTTTTCATGAACAGTTAGTAATCCTCAAAATAAGTTATTCGACAATTATCAAAAATTCGTTAGATAAACTGAATTATTGAATAAATTGGTATTTTCATCGATACTGACGATGTTCGGGTCTCTTATATGCATATAGTATATATATATATATATACATCGACACAACTGGATCGAAACGATCGCTTGTCATTTGGGTCTTTTAAAAATAAAAGTTTGGAGCTGACACGTACGATCACTTGAACCGTTAACATTGCCGAATGGTACAGGATACGACCCAACAGGTACAAAACGTACTGGATGTGAGTTCACAATGTGAAAAGTGGATCCAGGGGATTGGCGGATAAACGTAGTGGATAAAAAAATGAAAATAATAATAAAAGGAAAAAATCAATCAGATAAAACAAAACAAAGGCAACCCTGCGAGTAGCACTATATATGTATATCGACACGCTCATTGTACTCGCATGGATTTTCAAATTCGATGCCTTCAACCCTATTCGAATTTCTCGCCTTTATTTTTGCCCATTTTTCAGCCCAAATCGATTCGCCCCTGGCGTCCGTCACACGGCGCCAATGCTCATTTGAAAATTTTCCGAAAGGGACGTCATTCACTACGGTAGGTTATCAGGTATCGTGTATCACAAGCTTATACACAAGCACGTACACACGTGGGAAATTATTCAGCGAATTCATGAATCAAGTGACAAGCGAATATAACCTCGCAAATAGCATATCGAATCTCCTGTAAAAACTAGCTCTCTAATAAAACTGTACCAGCCGATTTGTATTTGCCAGTGCTTCAGTTATTCCCTTACGGATATAGTACCTACGCGCTAATTTACATATACGAAACTGGGTCAGGACTTTACATAAGCAATTAGCGTATAAAGAATCTGCAGGACGGCGAAAGATGATTAAAAAAAAAAATTTGGTGAAACAGCAAATGATTCTATAATTCCAATTACACGGTGTCATACGCTTGCCCCTTAATAAGTTATCCGTGTATTTAATCTCGACTGGCTTTTACAATTGATAAATGAATACAGTACCAAGTACCCTTATTACCCAAGAGATACTACAGTTCAGTACAAAATACAGTCGATTTTCTATTTCCGGCTGTGAGACAATGCAGCTCCTCTCAAGGGAGTCGAGCTTTCGTTCAAACGCCAAATACAATAGCTTCTTACTTTACGTTAGTTGAGCTCCGTTACGTAGATACAAAAGCGAACTAAAATAACCTTCAGTGGGCGCCATAGTCATTGCCATTTCGTACGTGACCGGAGAGCTCGAATCAGTTGTCGGCCCTGGAAGATATAAGGGCTTCCAGCGTGGAATCTACCAAGCTTAGTTTTGACTTATCCCGTCCATCAACTTGCTTCAGTTTCCGCCACCGTTTCCAAAACGATCCATATCATTGTAATACCGCCATACTAAATCCCTAGATAAAAATGTAAATTCTAATCGACATCGTAGCAAGACTTTTAAATACCCTTAATAGCATTTTCAAAAAAGTCTTAAAAAAATATTGACCCAGATTTATAAACTCGCATAAAATCAGCCTCAGGAACTCTTGTATCGTCGGCACGATCAGCTGTATCAATTATCAAAGCAGTATGCAAATACCGTAGCATGAGAAACTATCGAACTCGGGCACGTCGGCAAAACACAGTTTAACTTCTTATTCGCAGCTGGTGATGTAGCAACCCCGTAGCACACAGCTATCTTCGCCCTTTGTGTCTATAGTGTCGAAGTATCGAAAACCAATAGCCTGTCGACCCTCTCATCTTCCTCCTTTAGCACCACGTCCTCAGCCTCGTCCTCCTCATATACGTTTCTCTTCTAGGTTCTCCTGCCTTTTCGCTGCATACCCTCCACAGTCTACCACCGACCACCCAACCAACCCTCCAGGAGGACGCCTCCGGTTACAAGAGAAATAAAACAACAACCCCTCAACGTTCTGGAGGATACAGCCCTGTCGCGGTGTACTACCCCTAACACGTGACACGTGCATTCGCAAACAATTTCAACTAACGATAAGGGAATACCGTTGTAGCCTTGAACAGCTACATTTTTCTACCTTCCCATATGTCAACATAGAACATGTAGATTGGTATAAGACACGTGGTCGATAGCACGGTAAAAGGAAATAAATAATCATCCCTACCATGCTGTCTGGTGACACGTGGTCCTGTGGTCCGGGTGTTCTGCTACCCTGTAGAAGAGCTTCTAGACTCTCGATGTATTCTATGGCATTGCGCAGAATTTCAACCTTTGGTAGTCTTTGATTAGGGTTGTTACTTGTTCTTCGTTTTAGAGCTTCGAACGCTTCGTTCACCTGAAATCGATAAAAAATATGAAATCATTTGGATGCTCCAGATCACTGAGATGACAAGAATGATTTTCGTATCCGTTTCAAAGTTCGCATCAAAAGGCTCTATCGGAGTGGGTATCGGAAAGTTCAAATCGAAGAGCAAATAATCAAGGACGTCTAACGGGTGCTCGGAAGGGTTCGCTCAATCTGATGAAAATTCGAAACGTGAACTGATTTCATTTCTGATTCTACTTCTATGGTTTTCCCGACATCTACTAGCGAAACTCAGCTGTATCCCATTACCAGTTTCGAGAACGGGAAGTAAATTTGCCTTGCGCGACCTGGGGGTTAACTCGAGGTCGATTAAATCGCTAGGAGTAAGATAGTTGACCGAGCGAATTCCAGCAAGGTACAGACATTACGTAACCGCATGATGAAAGGTAAACAGCCAATTGTGGTATAAATTCGGGCTACTCCCCAAAATCATTTTCATCCATCCATGAAGTCAGAGACAATATCGTCTCTCGACTACATTTGTGTCTCTGATAGCAAAATCGTGAGGGTTAACTTTCTAGTTAATCACTAAAACGACATGACCTTCTGAACTAGGACACTAAATGGAATCCTACAGTACCCTCAATGATTAATTCAAGCGTAAAGTTCGGCAAACGACTGTGGCTAAATTTTCTTTTAGAATAAATGTAGCAGATCCGTAAAGGTTGGCCCTTGTTTGTCTCAAAAGAAAAAGAGAACTCAGTAAGAACCAATGGGCAAAAAACCAGAAAAACTTTACCTCCTTTCAAAGTCAATAAAACCAAACGTCTACTTTCTAATTTCAATACTCATGAAAAGAGATCAAGTCGATCCATGCAGTTTTATTGGTAAAATTCGCTGATTTTTATGTAGGAATAATTAAATATAAAAATATAAAAATAATTTAAAAAAAATAACTTTTTTTTTAATCCATGAATTTCACGTATACACAATTGATTACAACCGATCGTCATAAGTATTTATCGACCAGATCAAATTTTAACCGATCCCTGTACTTAAAGTTAACCGACGTTTCGTTCGTCATCCACTTTAACTGACCTTTCGCAAACGTCTTCTTTCTCGCAGGGTAGCCGCCTTCCTTCGGTCGACGGTTACGGTTTTCTTTTTACAAGCTTTGCACGCCCACAGAAGGCATCTTCGTGGACCGTGAGGACTGCCTGCATCCAGAACGTGAGGATGAGGTACGTGTTCGACATTTTCACTCTCGTTAGTCTCGTCGCCATCGGCCGATGGTGAGCCCAGGTCGGCCGAAGCGTCGGCTGACACTATGGACGAAGCGTCATCCGAGTCGGGTATGTAATGAGACTGGGATCTGTAATGAAAATGAAAAAATTATTTGGAGACTATGCTAGTTGGTAAGTGAAAAAAAAATTAAAGAATTCATCTAGAATTATCTTGAATATCGTGAAAATGACGAGTGAAAAAAATCAGCCAATCAAGGACCGAAACTTTTTTCGGACGGCTTATTAATCAACGTTAATAACACGATCTCGAAATATTTACCGGCGTCACTTATGCCCCTTGTACCAAGCGCTGGAACCATTCGAATCGGTTAAGTAATCTACCTCGTATAAAATCCTTTGACACAGCGAAGAATAAAGTTACCTACGAGGCAACGATAAATGTCTTTGCACTTTATGAAAATAAATAGCGACTACTACCGCGTTACCTAATACATTGCTTTTGTCGTGATAAAAAGGAAAAAATAATATGACAGCCACCTACGACAGAGCGGAAACTTTCTAAAAGTGTGTCGCATAAATATATCAAAGAAATGTGTAGCTTCCTGCGATGGTGGGACCGAGAATTCCTAATGCTATTCTTCGAATACGTTTCTGTGTACGTGTACAAATTTTTGGCGGCAAATTTAAAACTCTTTTCTGCGCGTACAACGATATTCTTGTAATTTCCATTGCATCTTGGGTAACAATAGGTGTAATTTAAAGAATGCAGAAAAAGAGTTTCATTTATCATTGTGAATCGTTGTGAACGATCGTAAAGCTATCGTCACGTTCACACAGAAAATCATTCGGGACTTGCTCGATGCCGATCTTTTGCTCACCTCGCAATAAATGTGTCAGCCGTTCACGAGGGCGCGACGTACAACAGTCTGCGTTTACGCTCAGCGTTCATTAGAAACGTGAGAGAGAGAAAAAAAGAAATAGACCAAACGTAACTCGAACTCTTCGTATTCTGATTCCACTGACAGACAGTTCGAAATTGCTTGTGTTAAAGATTCCGTGATGTATGGATACACGATCGAAATTTTGTGCGTGCTAGACAAAGAAAGTTACCTGACAAATTGCCTTAGAACGAGTGAATAAGAATTTTACTTTACTAAAAATTCTTTTGTGGATGCAAATATTATGGAGGATAGTATATATGATGATTCTTTGGAATATATTAAAATTGTTTTACGCATAGTAGGGGAAATGGTACTGAATCAATGTATCGAGTATTACCAATATTTATAATTATAATAGTTCATCAATCCGATTATTTTAAAGGGATTACGAGTATTAGTGGGTAAATAATAGATAGAGCAAAAAATAAAAACCGATCGATAGAGGATTTATTAGACATCCATAAAAGTCTCATCTATTGGGTATAAAAACATGGATTACCTTTTTTTTAATATGTTGTTAAGAAAATAAACTGATTGATTGATAACTAAACATAGTTAAATAGTCATATTAAAAGTTTTTTATATACCTTCAAAATCGTCGTGTTTATATAAGTCATAGTAGGTATATATTTATATTTTGCATATATTCCAGTACATGCAATTTCAGCATGACACACTATGCTCCTACTATACGCATTACGATATATTATCAAGTATTTTTATACTTGGACGACGTAGTAAAAATTGCTGCCAAATGTCTCGACTGTCAATAATAATGAAAATAAAGAAACAATCTTGAAAAAGAATCAAGAAATCCTCTTAAATGTTGAATAAATAATTTAATGCTGGAAAGTCACGATCTTTCAAGTTTAAGCAAATTTAATTAAATAAATTTCACTTAATGATAACAGACAAGAGCGTGCTTAAAATTTCAAAGATTGAAATATCGAAGAATCCGCAGAATTTTATATTTCTAGGTTATATCGTCTATTTACTATATCTCAAGTATCAGTTTATAGAAATTCGGAAAATTTTTTATTTTCATATATTTTCATTAATTATAGGTCAAAAATTAACTGATACCAACCCAAGATGATCGTGTTGATAATGAACCGAGCTTGCGCTACTCGCAGAAACTAAACTACCATCAGCACTGGTTGTCCTGTTATGTTCTTCTCTTTCGGAGACGTATCTCTGCAGATACTCAGCATCCGAGGTATAAAAATGTCGATGATGATGATGATGATGATATGATTCGTATGAGGATCTAGTGGCTGCCTCATAGGGATAGGAGCCAACGTCTGTCATGAGGGTCATCATTTCCTGAAGACTCTTGATCAACCCGATGATCAGTTTACTATCAACTGTTCGATGAACTTTTAATTTTACTTTCACATATCAGAACAGGCGCACATCGCGCGCCCGATCACTTCACAGTTACGTAATATATTAATTATCCTTTTAAATCTTAAATTTAAAATAAAGTAGTCGAACCATCCAAATTTCAAGTACAATCACTAGTTGCGAATACCAGCTGTCATTGACAACACTATACAAGTATACAGAGGCACTTGGTTATTTGTAAGAGTTTAATAAGTCGATTGAAAAAAAAAAGCAATTTTTTCGTGAAAATTTTAAAAACAAACAGACACAATTCTCATACTCGAGGATATTTAATTTCATCGTTTTGACGATATAAAAATAATTTCTATTTATCTTGGCCGCCGCCGGCAATCAAAACGACTCGATTCGAATGAACGAAGAATAATGTAAGAAATGAAAAAAAAGAAAATTGTCACGGAAACGACGCGCTTCACTTCACAAACTGTCCAAACTGTTTTGGCAACGCGCTCTCTGGCCGCTTCGTAAGATCTGAAATCCCTGAAGTCGGAGATCAGAGTGAAGACCTAGCGGGCAACTTCTAACAGTGTCTCCAACAGCCACATGGTTTTTACTTGGTGTGTGCTCACATCCCCGTACCGTGTGTACGTACCCTTATGTCTTTGCCCACTCGACGACACACTCGTCTCTGGATATTTACGTGTTGTGCGTGTGTCACAGTCACACCCCGTGTCACTATTTTTAAGACAGTCGACCAATTGCGAGCGGTTTAAATTGTTTTAGACCCACCATTGCTCCGCCCCTGACCTGTCATAGATGCATGACTTTGGCAGAATCTCATGCCGGGGTGTGGTTTGACCATTAATTAGACACCCTGCACTTAAATATTACCCGGATCCAAGACGCTCCCGCTCTTACGTGATTATAACGTCGCTCGACCCATTCCTTATGTTATAACTTATAACTTGTAACATTCTCTACACCATATGTAACATAGTGACTTTTATCCTTTCCAGAACACCCAGTAATATCTCGAAGATCTTAATGTTTATCCCATTATGTCACTGAATAATGTAAAAATTGCATAAATCGTAACCGACATATATATCGTTTAATTTATCTTTGATAATATATAAATTATATTGTAAATCATTCGTCTGAAATTTTAATGAAAAAAATAGAATTCTAATTCTTGGACATAAATTAGATCTCGAATTTTTATTAGGGCATGATACATTACACGATTAAATTTTTTGATTGTTCAGTGTTCGGATTATTCAATTTCATAATGCTAATATGTTCATGCACCCGATTGATCTTTATCCTTACTAGATCTATTATCTGTTAACTCTTCGCCATGTTCGTACACTCGATACACGTTATAATCTCATTACCTGATTTCTCATCTTCGTTTCCTGCGTTTCGAACTCTGATAACGGGATACGTCGATATACGTAGTACTTGTCATACTCTCTTGTTATACTCTCAGCGAATTAGAATAGGCTATTGAGCGTCGAATAAAAGCTAAAATTAGTCTGGCAATAATCCAGAGGAGGAGAGACGGGAAATGGACCAGAGAGTACTCCTGACACTCTCCATCAAACGCCAATCGCTCTTCTCCGCCGTCGAGAAGAATCCTTTTATTTTTTATCGCGTTTAAACTTCACGCGTCACGTACCTCAATCGCGAAATCGCATTGGTCGAATTCCTAGTATTCATCCTATTCATCCCATTCGACCTACTCGATATTTGTCCTTGCGAAAAGGGAAGTAGAGATTCATTTCACTGATCTAACGTACGAATCCACTTTTTATATTTTATCTTATACGAAAATCCCTCGTTTAATATTTTCAATCTTCTGTAAACCCTTGTGCCGAATCCAGGACCAAAATTCGATTTATTTACCACTAGGATATTTATACATTCGTACATAGTTATATTCGAAGGATGAAATTTTTAATTCTACAAATATATTATACCTATACGCCCTATAAAAGATATATGAAATTTCATATTTAACAATAGTTCAAAGGTTGTTTTATAAGTAATCAACCTATTCTTATATTTCCTACCTCCACGGTTGTTCAATATACAATGTTCATTTCTTAAAATAATTATAATTACTCATATACACGTATCTCTCTTAAACACAATCAGCGTGACGATGACGAAAGGCAAAGAAGCCAGGAAAGTACGACACCTTTTATGGATGACGCTAACCGTCTTATCATATACCATCAACGCCCTATACCAGTCTATGATAAAAATCCTATTCGACAAAGACGTTCAGCATCAGCATCACCAGCAGGAACATCACCTCAAAAGTTAATAGCTGAAGCAAGAGACGTAAAGTGAGATTGGAGTGTGACGTCGAGAGTTCCTAGTTGACGGCAGAAGTTACGAAAGCCTGAAGGAAAGCGAAGTTCCGTAGTTTGCGCTTGGCGGGAAATTTAATTATTCAAGTTGGTTTCGCGACATGCACATAGCACGGTATACCATAAGATATAAAATTTTGTTTAAAATATATACTTATGCGCATCAATATAATATACATAGACTCCTAGTGTATTACAATGAACTGCCCTTTACATATCCAATCTCATTGCGGTAAACTCGTACAAGTTCGTATAGGAACGTGAGTTGAGAATTGCTTTCGTGAGGTAGTATAGTTAGGTATAGGTACATATCAGGGGGGTGCGGCTATGGGACATTGGTTAGGGGTAGAGTAGGTCACACAAGGAAGGGGCTGCTAAAAAAGAGGTCACTCACTTGCTCTCTAGTTTCCTCTCCTCTCCTCTCTCTCTCTCTCTTGCTCGTCTGGCTACTCGCTTCTCTTCGGTATTCGGCTAGCTGGGATATCTACATGTACCAAAGTTGAAAGTTCGCGCGAGGCCAGCAGCCGCAGCACCGTTGCTGCCTCGCCCACTTTTATGGGACCCTCTATTGCTGCGCGCCGTGAGGTGTCCTGTACTGCGCAACGTGACTTAGGCTTCTACCCTTACCCTGGAACCCCCTCAATGTACTCCTTTTAGTTTCTTTCTTGGTATTTTTCGTTTTACCTTTCTCCTCTTTTTACGTGAGTTTCGGAGGATCAGTGCCTTATGGGTAATCCTGAAGAGACTTTTAAGGGGTTTTATTCGACCTGCCTTGATCAAGCTATGTATAGACAGCTGACTATATACTTATTACTTAGGTCCGTAGGAAATTCTTCATTCTGAATACAAAACAGTCTTAGATTAATCTGCTTGGGTCGGTAGATATAATGGCAGTAGTAGATCGATTCGTTGAGCTTTTTAATTTTGCAGTTTCACTTGAAAGCTTTCGCTACAACTCGTCTCTTCGAATAGATGAAAGAGGTGTATGCAGGTAGATCGAAAGTGGGGGGGAGAGAATAAAAGACGGAATCTTGGATAGTACCTATTTACAGAGAGGCAAAGACAGGGGGGGAGAGAGAGAGAGGTGGAGAGGGGGAGAGAAGAGGACTGAAATGATTGAAGAGAATAAGGGATGAAAGTAAACGAGAAAATTCTCAAAGGAGAAACGTTCAGGGAATTAAATTATGCGTTGAAATTTGTTTTCACGCTGGGTACATTCGAACAATTTTTTCTCTTCTTTTTTTTTACTTCGAAAATTCTGTAACATCTATATAAAAATCACGGCCGATCGTTTCAATTATTTTTCAGATACAAAAATATTCCAAGGGCGAATTTACAATTTAATTATTGCATTTCAATAATTTCGCCAATGCAATTATAACGAATAAAGTTTTAATCGGTATATTTTATTTGTATAGCATGACGTCCCGAACTTGAAATTGCGGCAGACGACCAGCTGTTTTTGCCGCCCATGTGTATAGGGGTAAACGTATGATGACCCCACTAAATTAATTATGCATGCATGTATTCCACCTGGATGCAATCTGCAGTTTTACAACCCAATAAGTGTCTAATCTTACAGGGAACAGAGACTAACGTTTTCCAGGACATTGATGACGTTTCGCCAACCACGTGTTAACTCGATCATCTCTTTCCTTCCCTTTGGTATAGAGTTCTTTAACCCCAAATCAAAAATATCTCGAAAATATTTTTATTCCCTTTCCGCCATTCCGATTGGTCGTCGTTATTGTCGTTCAATGCGTGTCAAATTGCCAATGCGCGTAAATCCTTTTTCGAATTAGCCCCTCGACGCGTCTTATTATTTAGACTTATTCACTATAGTAAAATTTATTGTACCAAAATTTACAGACATTCATATTTCATAAATATTACTAGAGGTTGATCCACGATTATTACTATATTTTAAGCACGTCCAAGTAAAGCTATAGTGACAGTTGTGCAAAAAAAAATTTATTGCTTCTGTACAGTTTTCTTTCCGCGCTAGAAAAAAAAGTATAACAAATTTTTAATATGTACTTTTTCTCAACGTTGATCACAGGATCACGTCGTACCCTTGTGAATCCTTATACCTTACAACCCTACTCATCGTGATCCCTTTCTCTATCTTATCGTTTGTTCTGAAAGTAGACAACAATGAATTAGATCTCCGTCCACTTGTACCAGACGAAAGATCCTTCACCAGCGAACAATTAAAGGTGAAGGGATGATATCCTGGGGGAGATTGAAATCGAGAAAATTGTCAAGAGGCTGACTGATAGTGGGATTTCATTTTTGTCCCAAATAGTTTGAAGCTACAAAGGACCTAGTTTCAATTGGAGAGGAGTAATTTTACTTTGCCAATTGGTACTCCTGCTCCTTTGTGAAATATAAGATATATCCAATTGATATATACATTTATGAAAATAACTTCATTAACTATAATTTCTGTGTGTATACTAACAAATAATTTTCATCGCTCTTACTTGCCTTGTAATTAAAAATTGCATGGGTTTGGTATATATTTTTTTCATTTTTCTTTCTATTTTTGATACTGTTATTGTTAGTTCCTACGAACACATTAAACTTCATATTTTATATTATTATCCATTGTTGTATGCTAAATAAAGAATTGCATCGGTACTGTCATGCCTTTGAGTTTCAACCTTATACTGCGAAATACGTTACTCGAGTATACAATGATAGATGGTGATTTATAGAAAAGCAAAAAAAACTCACGACTACAATACAGACTGAATTTTCATTTCATATATCTGCCTCTAGGAGCATATTTTCTGTGACGCACCAGAAGCTTCAGATATTCTAATACCATATTTTTCTACTTTCTTGGTAAAAAGACATGAATAAAATACGCACTCATAAAACATTGAGCGTTGATCTACGTTTTTAGTGCTAACTCAATATACAAGTTTAATTGGGGCGAACACAGCAAACGTAGTTCAGATTCTAACTTTAGGTTTGAAAGTTAATTTTGAATATTCAGCCACACTCTCCGTACTCTCTGAATCAGTTTAAAAACCTGTAAAAGAAGAAAAGAAGCAATTGCATTAATTAATTTCATATAAATATAATATCACTACAAAAATACTACGTTATCCAATACAATTTTTAATTCCACCCGAGAAAATCTATTGCGCAAAAAATCGTTATATTGAAATAAAAATAATTTTATTTTTTCAATTAAATCGATGTATCATTATTTTTTTTAATTCAAATCCTATATTCAATTTCTCAATAATCAATTTTAACGGTGATAGTAACCATTGCCTGTATACATATATTCCTTATGCATATACCTACCTACATGTTGAACACAGGTGCACGTATATTCGTACTAATTCCGCACAAATGTTGCTCTTGAACTTTGACAGTGATAAAGGACGAAATTGCATATATGAAATTGCAAAAAGTTCAGCTGCCGCAGAAACAACTGCTGTATCACGATATGAACTTAACGAGAAGCCAATTTCGAGCACTGGTCGACGTCTCTGAAAAATTTCGAAATATAAACTACAGGCTACGCGTCTTGATCCTGGTCGTTTAGGAATCTCGTTGATATACTGACGTGAGAATATAAGAAGGTAAGAAGATATAAGGATACAGAGAGGAATGGACATGAACGTTATTTCGGCAAAGGTTCGCACGATAAAGTCGTGGGGATAGATTGTCGCCATGGATCAAGGCCGAAGGGAACCTAAAGCTTCGTAGACAGAGAAGCCTTAGATTCTGGAAAAATGTCGAGCTAGTAAATCTTTGAAGCTCGTTGTACACGTTGCCGAGTATTTCCAGTAGATTCTAAGGTGTGGCTCGCTGTCCCGGATTTTCACTGCTGTGCATCCCGCGTTAGAGTAAGAAAAGCCAGGGGAGGTCTTGTACAGAGCGAGAGAGACCGCGGCTTGAGAAGTAGAAGGTATCGGTGGAAGAAGGATAGAATGAGAGAAGGTGGATTGAGACGTGAGAATAAGCAATTCGCTTGGGATCGAAGAAAAGCTTCGTAAGAAGAAAGAAAGCGGGGTAGATATTTTTGGAAGTTGACGATCATTAAACATTACTTTAACAGTGAAAGGTTCTTATAATTAAAGTGTTTTAATTACACAAGGAATGAATTTTACGTACAGGAGTTGTTCAGATCACAGAAAATGAGATTAATGATAAAGCGAATGATGATAGAAAATCTTTTTTTCTAATTCTATGTAGATGTAAAAATTTTATAAAATGTTTTGTATTCAATTTCGTAGGTTCAAGCGCGCCTGACATGCGCTTGAGTAAAATTTTTATATTAAATTTGAGTATCTCGTGCTTTTCATGGTCCATGATTCGAGCAAGTAAATAAAAGTACAAGCTGTTTATTTTCGAGAAATCCGACCCCTCCAATTTTCCCCTTACGATTGGTCCATAATTTTTTCTTTCAGAAATGCAAATTCACACGAAAGACCCTCTCGTCTCGTCACGTCCCACTTATACATATAGATGACAGTAAAGGGTGGTTACGTCTCACAGCGCTCGACATACCTTTTGCATCTTAGAGAATTTACCAATATCTGCTAACAGGGGTTGGGTAACGAGATGTAGGTGAATCTTGGGAGTCGAAGGTGAGAGCTCAGCCGGAGAGTAGCGTAGGTTGAAGGAGGGCGAAGAGGGGATGAAGGTTGTAGGTGGACGAAGGATGAAGGTGGAGAGGAATTGGTGGGTAGGTGGCTGGTTGGCTGGCGGCTGGCTGTAGGGGTTGGTTGGGTCGTGTGTTGCGGGCTGCTGCGGCTCGGGCGCGACAGTTCGGCCCCGACCATCGCCGGTAGACCTTCGCAGCTGTAGATTCGCTAAATCAACCTTCCCTGTCCTCCTCCCTTTTATTTCTGACTCCACCTACGCTCAACCAAACAACCCTTTCGGCTGGCAGGAACGCGATTTAATTAATTATTACGGACGACCCTAATTACTGTGACGTATTTCGGTGCCGATTTCGAAATCTTTCTAATCGTAACTCACGGCGACCTAATCTAACGTGACAACTGTCTTGACTCGTTGTATCTGTCAGACGAAAGGACCACCGCGTGACGTCACCACGAAAACATTTATTCGCTACGAACGTGATTTAACCTTAAGGGTTTAATGCAATGATCGAATCGTTCCTTATCAAACGATATAAAAGAAAGATCGATTAACATGGATTTTATATGTTATTAAAATTTGTGAATATTAACAAATTGTATCTGGACGGACGTGATAGAAATTATCCCTCGTAGGTGGGTTTGGATACTATACTAAAAAAAAAGTCCACTTTCATCGGCCATTTGTGGAAATTAATACTGGTGTGTTAAATTCAGTTGTTATCCTGACAGTTTAATTAGTTTTCAGTGAAATCAATGTGTGCGATTACTGTGACATCTTGGGTACTTGACAGTGGTCAAAAGTATTGGCACTATCTACTTTGGCAGACAGACTTACTAGCGGTCATTGAATTTATTGGGATGGATTTATTTTAATTTTCAAATTTAACTAAGAATGCGTACAGTAAATGGGACTAAATTATATATGCATTTTTTTTTTTAAATGAATTTCAATATATTTTACTCCACTACCTATGCCGTGTCTCTCTGTCAAAGTATAAGAGAGAACTTGGCCGCGTTCACGACTGTCTGAACGCGTTCGAAACAATTTTCGTTTGTATTTGCCAAATTCTTCCGGCTGCTCGCGCATCCCCTATGAAAATAAAATACGTATAAGCGATATGAGCTTTTTCAGAAAATAAGTAACATACTGAATATACATATGAATCTATGTAGATGACGATGTTGTTTCTACGTACTTATTGACCGAAGGACTGACGTGTTCTTTTCTCATGGGAAGCAATTGCCATTATAAAAACATTGAAAAACTCCAAGACTTGACCCAAGGGACAGAGGACGTTTATAATCAGGATACTTAAACGCTGATGAGAAAGAAATTGTATACTGAGCGATGGTTGTAATTCGGAAAAATAGTACAATTCGTACAGCCCTTATTTTCTTGTAGCCGTGGATATTTTAAGAATAAAGAAAAGCTTGTTGTAGGGAATTGACAAATCTTTCGAGTTACACACGTAGGTAGCTACGAAGTATACGTAATTCGATTTGTACACAATAAGTCCAAGCAAAGTTTCTTCCTCTCTTTCTCCCTCTCTCTTTCTCTCACTTCAGCCTAGTGAAAACCGAACGCAAAGTCGTGAAGTTTTCGTAAACTCTCCTGGCATTCTAGCCAAGCTTATATACGAAGGGAAACTTCTCTAGGAATTTCATTCGGGAGCCAAGTACTCGAAAATAAGTTGACCTATCACTTTTTTTTCCTTTTTTATTTCTTGCCAATGAAACTTTCGATCGGCATTGAGACGTATGAACGTTATATAGTCGAAACTTGATAACTGGGCGATATAACAAAATGAAGTGTGTAGGGGATAAGTTGAAAATTTCAAATATATTTTCTCGTTCATAAATATTGCCTACGTCTCTTGCTCTTTCCTTTGGATACGTCAAGTCTGTGTATGTTGAAATACGTGAACGACTGTAGATTTCTAAGTGAATTTTATTTAATGCTATTTTGATGAAAAAAAGGCCTATTGAAAATCGAAAAAGAACTCCATTGAAGAGAAAAAAAAAATACGCTCGTAGGTTCACTAGTGAATAGATACTCCGTGTAGCATACATATGAGACACAGGATACGTAGCTGTTACACGAGGACGAAAGAAAAGACTGAGGAATAAAAAATATAGGATTGAGAACGGCATGAGAATATTCACAAACTTTTCTTGTATTTTTCCATCTAGAATTCCTCGACTCCAAAAGTATTCGCACTGCGAAGGGGGACGCAAGTTACGGGGATGAGAACTCAGAAATACTTTTCGAGATGATAAATACATTATTCTGAATAACGTAACGCAAATATAATATCAATCGCAGGTATTGCCCGGTACGAGTCTGAAAATAATAAAAATAGTATATATGGACTATCGGCACCGTTTAAAAATGAAATATTAGGAATAAAAAATATATATCCTTATTCGCGACTTAAAATTAGCCCGTGACCTAATCATGGTGAGTATGTTAATTTTGTCTCGTATGACAATTAAATTTCACGCATGTTCGAGATATAATACATAATCTAAAACTGTCTTACAGGCAACGTGAGAGATCCGCGAATAATTACGAAATGGGAAAACGCTTTTCAAAATTTTCGTGAAAGCGGATTAGAATTTCATTCCAAGTGGAGTCGGACTGAATAACCAAAAAAGACCGAAGACATCGATTCGCTCTCATCCGGAAAGGAAGCGGAATATTTCTCAGCGTTAATAACCATTTGGAGAAAGGCGAAAAGGCGACAAGCCAAATCCATTAGCGCCATCCTCAAGAACAGTACTATTCAATGTTGAAACATCAGCATAACAGAACGTGAGAGAAATACAGAAAAAAAAACAGTTATCAAAAAGATTAAAAAAAACGGACAAAAATATTTTTAAAAAACAGTTCAACCCACCGTAAACACTTAATCGTTAATCTTAAAATCCAAACATAATCCTCGCCGAAGAAACATATTACACATTAATTACGGATTAGTCAAGAGAAACTATAAAACATTAAAAATGGATCCATTAAAATAAATACCTCCAGTCAAGCCCGTTACTCGGTGCGTTAACTTAGCTCCCGTTAAGTGAAGCTGCTGATGACCAGCCAATTGAATGACGTCATCGCCATACGTGTAACGAGTGTATGTTATTTTCCAAGTATCGTCCTTTGTTAATCCCCGTCTCGTGCGGATGCCAAAATAAACACATGTGTCGCTCATACGACAGCGACCTGGCGGCCGCGTAACGATTTAACGGGTGTAACGACTCGGCCGGCGAAGACGCGTAGAGGAAGGAGACGTCGAAGAAAAAGCCGGGAAATTTAAAAGCAGAACGACGAGTGTCTTTGAAAAGAGTGCGGTGATAATATGTACTGCCTCAGCGTGGCGTGCAGGTGCGGTGGCGGAGATAATGGTGGCGGAGAGAGATGAGAGTGGCATTGGGGGGTGGCCGAGAGGGACGAGGAAGAGGAAGACGAGCGAGAAAGGAGAAGAGAACGAGAGAGAAGAGACACAGTCATGTCATGGGAGTCTGTCGCATCCAGGGAATGCCTCAGGCAAGTATTGTATATGTGTGTATATATATATACAAGATCACCTTTAACCGGCCCTTAAAAACTTAATTACCCACGACCCTGACTCTTGCGGGTATATTCTCAAAAATTTACCCGCAGGCACGCCCACGGGTGATATTAAAGTTTTTCCTTTTTGTTACGCAAGTGAATAATGATGAATTTTTTAATCATCCCTCAAACTCGACCAAAAACAATTTTTCATGAATTAAAAAAAAATCTGATTATCAGACGACTATAAATATTTTTATTAACCTTGTTAGGAGTATAATTCATCATAATTGGTGTGCCTTCAAAAGGGTGCTCATATACTTGTGTATTCCTTGGCTGACATATAGACGGGTGTATCTACTTGTATCATTTTGATAAAGTATCCTTTAGTACGGTCGGTCGAGTCTTTTCAGAACCGAAGAAGGCGTCAAATGGATCTCGGCACTAAACGCGTTTTCGTATATACATAGGTTAAGTATATGAATTCACGATTAGAGCGTACTCGTAGTATCAGTCACGAGGGTAGGAATAATTCATGGTTCTGATAGTAGAGCACGCAAAGGGTGTTCAGACTATCCCGAGGGTTACTTTACGCTCTATACTTTAGACGGGGTAGACGGACGTGTATTTGGCAGGATTAATGTAACGCGGACCGTAAGGGTTAAGTGCACGATATACTCTGAAACTTCCTTCCTTGATCCGACCACACATCGTTATGCAATATCTATACTTATAATTAGTCTTGTCAATATTGATTTTAATAATTCACGGAAAATGCATATGGAGTTATTCAAGTTCGATGTATAAATTTTATATTGCCCATGCGAATAATGTTTGATAACCTTTATCTTGAAAAAAATTGCACTTTGAATCCCATATAAATTTTTTCCTAGCGAACAATTTGTGTGAAGAAAATTTAATTTCACTGTGTGAAATTTTATAGATGATTCGAATTATTTATTATAAACTGATAACGTCTGTGAGGAAATATAGGTGGGTATGATATAGGTTTCCGTATTTAGAATGATATTCTACGATCAATTTTTTATGTGATTACGGATAAAATCGGAAAGAGCATTTCCGCTTGGATCTTATAATTACATTCTCGTTTCATTGCACAGCACGGATGTAAGAGTGAAATGTGTGGAAAGAACCGATAGAAGTGAAATTACTGTAATAGTCTTGCGGGGTGGAAATCTTCCGTGGTAAGCATTAAATCTAAATTGAGAAGATACATTATATGAGTTCTATTAGATATAATTATATTTCAAAAGTAATATAACTTTAAACATAGATAAGATAGAAGGTACGGTGCATTGAACTCGGGAGTAAGCTACGAAAACAATCCCCTAAATGTTGTCAATGGAAAAAACTTCGAAACAAGTTATTTTGGCATTATCATATAAATTCAGACAGAAAAGAAAATGTATACGTTAGAACCAACAGCCACGGGCGAGCGTCGATTTCAGGAAGGTACAGATATATAAAATTCGATGAAGAACCGCCACCCTCCATTTGTTCAATAATTTCCTGTTCCTCACCCTCCTTCGAACTCTCCCAACTTCGAGTACCTACCTACCCACCACCTCTGATCACCCAGCTAGTCCCAGCTGAACAACACTCAAGGGTACAGGTACCCACTCCAACCCTTGCGGAATAGGGAAAATAACGCAACACGAAAATGCAGCTGCAAGCTCTATACCTGCAGATTTGTGGTAGTTCGTTCATTTCCAGGAGCGCATTTTGCGCTGGTCTCTGCGCATCTCGTCGCTCGGTGGAAACTTAGCTGACTACGTGTATACATATAATCATATTGCAAAACGTACGTAACGATTTCGTATTACTTTGGTTAGTTATCGCGTGTACTATAGGGGATGTGGAAATTACGGAAAACTTTGGAGAAATTCAGCAATTATTATGAGTAACGTTTCCCAATATTTACAGTTATAAGTCAACTGTATTCTGTGCCAATTGGACGAAATTTCTTTTTCCGAAAAATTTACACATTCAAATTGATAGTACAACAGCGACATATATATGTATATATATTCATGTGCAGAGTACTAAAAATAATTTTTGGAATATAGAATATGAAGGAATATTCGCACTTGCAAACCTGTAGGTTTCAGTGTCGATTGGGTGAGTTTTTTTTGCAAAAAATCACAATTGCCTACTCGTACCTAGATACACATGCATACATAGTATGTGAAAAATATTTGATTGGCAAAATTGCGTAAGGGTGGTTCGGATAAAGCTCGTCGTGGAACAGGGGACGATACTGCGTATTTTATACCAGGGACATTTTTTCACTTGAGCTTTCACAAAAAGCTACGTTCGATATAGAAGCGTTCATGATTCACGAAAATATATTTTTCGCAATTAGTGGACCGGACGGAGGAAGTAGTTTAAAAAAAGGGGGTGAATAAAGTTGGAAATCAAATTGATCACTACATACTGGTTTCAGTATGTGCCTTATGTGCTTTGTTTCAGTTCCCATGACGATACCTTTATATAATAAATAATCCCGTCTTCGCGTACTGATAGCCCTACGGGCATGTGAATTCTCTGTTGCTTATTAATAAATAATATTTTACATCATATCCGACTCCATAATTTCAAAAAGTAATAATTGCGAAAGAGAAGAAAAAAAGATAATAATTTTGTGTGACCCGAGGGAGTGGATCTTCAAGATACGAAGCCAGTAACAGCAGCCCTGCTCCTATCTGACATTAACGAGACGACTTTCTCGTTATCAAAGAATCCGGAGTACTATTATCTTTGTTCGAAATTTTCAGATTTAAGAACGATTTCGTATTATTCAGTAGTCTCTTATTGCGCGATAAGCATCGCTATGCTCATAAAACCCATACAAACTAGCTCTGAGGCAGTTCATTTTTAAATCACTTAAACTGCATACTAACCACCATCAGCTACACATACACCACCAAGAATATTCCCCTATCTTCCAGGAATATTGAACATTCTCCAACATAGTCAGATAATCGACCCAATCACCTTAATCAGAAATGCCTATTATCCAATATTTGCGGTTCAATCAGCAACGACCCGATAAAAGTATAACCTATAAATAATAATTTCCTAGTATACTTATCAAATGAAATATCCATTGCTATTATTCGCCATAAATGCATCTCCCGCAATATTAATTATTAATTAAATAGGACTTTGTAAGACAGTTTTTCTTTATTCAGTTTTCATGTTTTTCACAAGTTTTTATTAGTTCTCAACGACAGATCTGTATTAAGACATTGGGACACATTTTGAGCGGCCACTTCAAAAAACTGCCTATCGCGCTCGTATAGCTATTTTCTACATTAATGGGTATATATTTATACCTTGACAGGTTACCATGCATCGAGGATCCCCGAAGGTTTTATTCGAGGAGAAAAGCTGCAGGTGCGGTGACCCCGTACGAAATTAATGTCACGACTCGACCCATTAAAACACTACGTGAACCTAGTTACCGCATCACGACTAACCCGGTCTCATCAGGTTAGGCACAGCTAGTCTTTAATTTATTTCCAGAAGCACAGGGACATTGAGATAAAGTAGTCTTGGCTACCGTCCCAGAGTTTGAGTTTGCAAACTGTACATCAGGGAGGCCAGCCGAGATAGAATCGCACACCCTTGCCTAGCATCTGCCCTACCGCAATGCGACCGTTGCAGACCATCGCTGTGTCTTAATAGAATGAACTTGTTACGAGAAAAGACGGCATGATCGGCAATAGAGTATGGTCGTCAATTTATACGTTTACATGCTTCTATATTAAATCTACTTCAGAAAAGTTAACTCTATGCCTATAATAAATAATGCCAAAAGTTTCTATACCAAACTAAATTTATAGATGTAATATAGCGACCATCAAATGGAATAGCGCTTACGTGTAAATTTTATATGAAGTATATCCCCTCGAAAATGCGTGCGATATGAATTTTCCACGTGAAAAATTGTCAGCATATTGTTGGCTACATCTATATCTGCGTCCTGCATGGAGCCTAATAGGTGAGCGGCTGTCAGTAAAATTTGACGCGAGACGATTTTCGTAAAAATTCCATCAGCATCTTAGAAAATCACGACGGAATAGCGATGCCCTCTGGCAGTTCTCCTTCATCCATATCGGTATACGTACCTATATGTCACGTATCACAGGACGTTTTTACGGGTTTTTGACGTAACAAGTTTTTACGAGGGATCGCAGGTCCGTACAAAGAAAGCTCCTGGATATACGGGAGTGTCCCATCTTCTGAACCCGGACTATACTTTACCGCAAGCATTTCAAAAGGATCTAAGGAAATTGTTTGCTGGGCAAAAAACAAAGAATTCCTTCAGCAAGAGAATTCCACTGAATAAAAGTTTCTTATGAGCTGCCATCAAAATTAGTTCGGAATTGATTCGGTAGAAGGCGAAGAAATTTATTTTCGTTAGACGTAGAATCCTTCGTGTAAAATATAATCCACATCAATCTTCATCGTTAGATGATGGATACGGAAGTAATGCGTTATACGTAATTGGTAAGAAATTCATGTAATTTATTATAAGAAATCATATTTTAATAGGCTCATAGACCTTTGATAATTTTTTATTTACTCTTCCATATATTTTTTATCGGAAATTACGTATGGTCAGAGCTTTCGTTTATCCACGTGTTATGAATATTTCAAAGCAATATTCCAGAGTTCACTCGTAACAGTGTTTTTGGGTACTTCGACGTTTTACGAATCCCCGTAATGGCGGATGAGATTCCTTCATAAACTGTTCTCTGAAAATTAGATAATCTCACGGTGCAAAGTTTCGAAAGCCATGTTATTACATACATATATCAGCCTTGGCGGAGGGTCGCCTGTTAAATTAACCAGAAGCAATCTTTGCGAATTGCCATTATACCGACAAACATAATATAAACTTAATGATGCCTTGTTAGCCGTACTAAATAAGTCGTATTGTACGATGAAGATAGACCTATGCGACGAGA